CCACTCACCTCAGCCTCCCAAAGCACGGGATTACAGGCTGAGCCACCGAGCCCGGCTGCAGATTCTACTTTTATCCTAAGATAGTCGAGTTCCCTTGTGGCCACTGAGTCTTACTGCTCCTGCCCCTGGTGCAGGTTCCCCTTCTCCCACTCCTGGAGCCCACCCAGTGACCTTGCTTGTTTATTTATTTTTTATTTTTTTTTTGAGTAGGAGTCTCACTCTGTCACTGAGGCTGGAGTGCAGCGGCATACTCATGGCTACCCCAGTATCACCCTGCTGGGCTCCAGCGATCCTTTCCCCTCAGCCTTCCAAGTAGCCGGAACTACAGGTGCACGCTACCACACCTGGCTAATTTTTGACTTTTATTGTAGAGAATAGGTCTTGACAAGTTGCTCAGGCTGGTCTTGAACCCCTGGGTTCAGGCAGTGCTCTTGCCTCTGCCTCCCAAAGAGCTAGAATTACAGGCTTGAGCCACCGTGCCCGGCTTTTTTTTTTTTTTTTTTGAAGCAGTTTTTTTAAAGCTGTTTTTAAAAGCAGTTTTATTGTGATAAAATACGCAAAATGAAACATTTCTCATTTCACCTGCCTATAACGTACAGTTCAGTGGCATGAGTTGCACTCACAGTACCGTGGATGTCACCACTGTCTAGACCCAGGACCCTCTCATCATCCCCAACAAGAACTCTCCCCATGAAACAATAAGTCCTTCTTCCCCCTCCTCACCACTGGCACTTTTGAAAAGAACTGCTAAATTTTTGGACAGTGAACTTTTGAAGGTGGAGCCGCTAAGGCTTAGGGGAACTTGCACTTTAAATGGTGTGTTTCAGTGGGACAAATGTTGGCCTGGGAGTCAAGACCTGGGTCCTCGTGCTAGCTCTGCCCTGACCTGCTGCGTGACTGTGGCAGTTTGTTTGACCTGTCTGAGTGTCAGCCATTTCCCCTGTGAGGTGAAGGGTTTGGACCAGATGGGGCACACGAACGAGGAATCCCTGCCCGTTGCTCCCAGGCTGGCGGGTTGTTACCAGGCGCTGGATGGAGGCAACACGGCGGACGCGCTGGTGGACTTCACGGGTGGCGTTTCCGAGCCCATCGACCTGACCGAGGGTGATTTCGCCAACGATGAGACCAAGAGGAGCCAGCTGTTTGAACGCGTGTTGAAGGTGCACAGCCGGGGTGGCCTCATCAGCGCCTCCATCAAGGTGAGGAGGCACAGCCGCCCCCAGAGGCGGCCTCTCTCCATCACCAGCCCTGACGGGGTGGGAGGTGGCTGTGACATCCCAGGCCAAGATGGATCAGCTCGTAAACCTAGACCCTCAACCTCCCAGGGAGGGAATGGTTGGAAGGTGCGCACCCACCTCTTCAGGGCTAGGTGGCTCAAGCCCCCGCCCTCTAGGCTGGGGCAGGGTTTTCCACACTTCAACCAACCCTCCTTTTCTGCCCCTCTTGGGTTGCGGGTGTCTTACATCTGAGGGTCCCTCAGTCAAGGTGCCGGGAGCTTGGGGGCAGCTGAAGAGAGAAGTGAGGCCCTGTGGCCTGGGCTGGGTACTTCAAGAGGATCCTGATTTCAGTCGTTGCTTGTGTTTTAGGTTCAAAGCCAGGGCTTAGCGAAGGCAGGATTTGAACCCAGGTTCAGCAGACCCTGAGGTGTGCTAGTAAATTGGCTCTCTAGAAAAATAAACAGCCCTGATTTGTAGCATTTGCTGATTTCCACGGTGTAAATACTCCCACCGTGGTTGGTTTCCAGCTACCAGTGTTTTAACAATCAGCTCTCAAGATTCCTGAATATTTATCCATCAGCTGAGCCAGTGCACATCAGCTCCAGCACACCACCCTGGACTGACCCCATCGCAGGTGCCTTTTACTCAGACTGCTGCCCCATAGGGTGTATGGAAGGTCTGTGAACAAGGCAGCGCCCCAGCCTGCAGTTCCCACTCTGTCCTGTAGGGGGCACTGCGGCCCCGGGCACTAGCTCCAGCACCTGAGCCCCAGGTATGGGTTCCAGTGTGACCCTGCTTCTCTGAGCAACTGTGCCTTCCTGCAGGCCATGACAGCAGCGGACATGGAGGCCCGCCTGGCGTGTGGCCTGGTGAAGGGCCACGCATATGCTGTCACCGATGTGCGCAAGGTGCGCCTGGGCCACGGCCTGCTGGCCTTCTTCAAGTCGGAGAAGCTGGACATGATCCGCCTGCGCAACCCCTGGGGCGAGCGGGAGTGGAATGGGCCCTGGAGCGACACGTGAGGCCTGGGGCCAGGGGTGCAGGCACGGGGGACCAGGGCTTGGACAAGGATGTGGGTGGGCTTCTGGGCGGAGGTGGCACTGGGGCTGGGTCTTGAAGGATCTGGTGGGGGCAGGATGACATTAGGAAGAGAGAAGGGAGCCTTGTTTTGGAGTGGGCGTGTGGGTGATGGATTCAGCATGGGCAAAGGCCTAGGGGTGGGGGTGAGCTGACTGCAGGGGTCGTGGGTGGAGAAGGGAGCAGGGAGGGAAGTTACCAGCCCTGAATGAATGGGGGGTGACCCCTCTGTGTATGTTCATGGCTCTGGCAAGGCCAGGAGGGAAGGTGCCAGTGAAGGAGCCTCCTCCATGGGGGCTGTGCCCCCTCACCCCAGCCTGCAGCTTTGCTTCCTGACTCCCGACTCCTGGCATGGTAGCAGCCCATGATTCCCTGTGGGAGGGAGTAGCTGGGGCTTCTCGGAGAGACCCCTAGCCACATTGCACCAGGTTCTGGTGGGACCCTCCTTTAGACAGCTCCTTCTCTCCTTCCCGACACTTACATCCCAGCTCGGAAGAGTGGCAGAAAGTGAGCAAGAGTGAGCGGGAGAAGATGGGCGTCACCGTGCAGGACGATGGCGAGTTCTGGTGAGTGTGTGTGCCCCGTGCGTCTGGGCTGAGGGGCCTCCTGGGGGCCTGAAGGGAGCACTGGAGGAGTCAGGAGTCAGTTCTCTAGGGCATGCCCCATCATCAACTTGCTGTGTGACTTTGGACAAGTCATGCCATCTCTCTGAGCCTCACTTTCCTCCTCTGTAAAATTAATCGGGCAGTAACACCCCCGTAGTCCCCTCTGCCCACCTGAGGGGACCGTGGGCCACCCTGATACCCAGGCTGAGCCCCTGGCAAGCAGGTCAGGATGCCAGTAGGTAGGGGGATTGACTAGGGGGCAGGGGTCCACTGGCAACCTGATTGCTGAGTGTAGGTAGGAAAGAGGAGGGGCTTCATGGAGGAGCTGGCTCCCAAGCTGACACTTGGGGTGCAGAGTAGCCCTTGGTAGGAAAGAGAATGGATTGACCAGAGCTGAGAGCACAGGTGGCTTGGGTAGGGTGAGTTCGGGGGACAGAGGGACATTTAGGGGCTCCTTGAGTGGGGGTGGGCTTGGAAGACGGTAGCAGCCGACCTTTTAGAGCCCAATATTCACCCCTGCATTCATCCAACTCGCCAACTCACGTTCATCCAACCCACATCCATCCAGAACCCACACTGAGTGCCAACTGTGGGCCAGGCTCAGTGTCACTCTTCAGCAGAGCACTTGATATGGAGACTCAGCAGCTTCCTGGAAGGGTATTGGATGCCCCATATGTGCCAGATGCTGTGAGGGCCCCCTGGCAGGACAGGGGCAGATGACAGTGATCCTGGCACCCCCCACAAGGACCCCTCCTGCAGGTGTCGGGGACCTGAGCAGGGGCCCCCTAGCCTTTCTGGTCTGGGTTCCTGTTGACAAGATCCACCTTGCCAGTCTGGCTCAAGATCAGTTGAATTAAACATAGCAAACCTCTGTAGAAAGGGCTTCTTCCTAAGGCCTTCCTCACATACATCCGCCTTCACTGCATTTCCCCGTGCCCCACCTAGGCTCCTGGAGGTGTGCACAGTGCTGCAGTGACATAGAAACACTGTAGCCACCACTACACACTCACCACCGGATTCCCACCACCTGTTTATCCAGGCCTCACAACAGCCGTGGAAGATCATGGATGAAAACATGCTTTATGAACTGTAGAGGGGAGCTCACCAACCCTGAATAACTGTCACAGCTGGCCTTTGCCAGCTGCCCGCTCTGTCTGCTGAAAGTTTCGCTACGTGTTTTTATTGCATTACTTAATTCCTCCACTAGCTCTGTGGGAGAGACGGCTGTTGTTAGATTCATCCCCGTTTTACGAATGAGGAAACAGGCCAAAAGAGAGGTTCAGGGTCTCGGTGATGCCACGATCGTGCTCCTTTGTGGGCTGTGGTCAGAGCGCGTGGAGCCAGTGGATGGGTGGGCTGAGGGCGGTGGGTGTGGGGAGCTGCCCAGCCCCGCCCCTCCCTCTCCAGGATGACCTTCGAGGACGTGTGCCGGTACTTCACTGACATCATCAAGTGCCGCCTACTCAACACTTCCTACCTGAGCATCCACAAGACGTGGGAGGAGGCCCGGCTGCACGGTGCCTGGACGCAGCACGAGGACCCGAGACGGAACCGCAGTGGCGGCTGCATCAACCACAAGGAGACCTTCTTCCAGAACCCACAGGTGGGCGCTCTCAGCGGCCCCCATCCTGCCCCTGCCGCTGCCGCCGCAGACTCCTGCATGACCTTAGGGACATCTCCGTTCCTCCTTGGGCTTCCACAGACTCGTCTGAACAGTGGGAGTTGGGTGGGCATGTGGGTCCCACCTGGGGGTCATGAAGCTCCCAACCTCACAATCTAACCTGCAGCTGATAAAAATGAGGAAATGGTGGCACTGAGGGGCTCATGAGTATCTTATCCTGAGTTACAGGGACATTCAGAGGTCGAGGTGGAGACTCAGCCCCTTGTTTCCAGAATGATTCTGCCCCTTCCTGGGGAACTCAGCCAGGCTGGCCTTCCCCACAGAGGCCTCTCCCAGCAGCTCCCCTGAAGGTCTGATCCATGGCAGCCCCTTAGTCATCAGGCTTGGTGTGCCTTTATTGCGCACCACCTGTGTTTCAGGCTCTGCGCTGAGCATCCATTGTGTCTGAGTTCTTCCAGGCTTCATGCAGGGTCTCCTTGTAGGCCCTGGTGGGCCCGTCTCACAGGAGAGGGCAGGACTGAGACTCAGATAGTTGACGGGATTGGCCCAAGCTCTGGAGTCCAAGCTTCCGGGAGCCAGCGAGCCCATCTCTGGCGTGGTCTCATTGCAGTGTCTCTCTCTCCTTGACCATACCCGCAGTACATCTTTGATGTCAAGAAGCCAGAAGATGAAGTGTTGATCTGCATCCAGCAACGGCCAAAGCGGTCCACCCGCCAGGAGGGCAAGGGCGAGAACCTGGCCATTGGCTTCGACATCTACAAGGTGAGGCCGGCTAGGACCCCTGCTGTGGGTGAGGAGAGCGAGGGAGCTGGAATTTGGGCTGCATGCACCTAGGGAGAACACTCTAGAGCCCCTGGGTCCCAGCCATCACCCCAGGCACCTTGACATCATGACCGTGATGTGGCATGGGGCCCTGTTTGGAACATCCATAGGGTTCAGCCTACCTGGACTGGTTTCTGTGGGGACTCTCAGCCTGAGTTCTTTCTGACCAAGATCCACAGCGGGGCTGTCCCATGGATGAGGAAGGAAGGAGAGGATTGTGGGTGGTTAGGGCCAGGTTCTGGAAGGCCTGGGTATCCTTTAGGCTCTGTGGCTCCTCCCTCAGGGTTCAGGGTCTCTCGCAGCTCGTCCTTGTGTTAGAGGACTTGCAGGGCACAGGGAGGAGGCATCCTTGGGCACGGCCAGGTGGGCTCACCCCTGGCCACTCTTCGGCTTGGAACCTGAGGTTTTTCACATGTTGTGATGCCCGGTGTGTGGTGACAGTCAGCGTAGCAGGACCCCACATGCCTGTCAGACCCTGAGAACTTGGTGAACCACAGGGATGTGCAGGGCCTTGGTCTGTGCCACACCCCTGGCATTTGATGTGCTTGTTCATGTCATGGCGATGTGGTGCATTCACTGTTGGGCTGACACGTTGTGACACTTTGTTGTGACTTTGTCATATAATCTTTACTAGTGTGACTAGAGCATATGGTGGCACTTGTTTGGGGGATTGTGTAGCATGTCCTGGAAGCAAGTGATGTTATTCCATGGACACGCATTATGACTTCTGCAGATCTTGATACCTCATTCTGTTGTGACGGTCAGAAACCTCACGAACATTGCTTCTAGAGGGATTCCTGTTGCTCCCCACTACAGCTTTTATTGAGATATAATTAACAGACCACACAATTCACCCATCTAAAGTATCCAATCGAGGCTACGAGCGGTGGTTCACACCTATAATTCCAGCACTTTGTGAGGCCTAGGCAGGTGGATCGCTCAAGACCAGGAGTTCACAATCAGCATAGGCAACATAGTGAGACTTCGTCTCTACAAAAAAATAAAAAAATTAGCCAAGTGTGGCAGCACCTGTAGTCCCAGCTACTCAGGAGGCTGAGATGGAAGGATCACCTGAGCCCAGAAAGTTGAGGCAGTGATAAGCTGTGATGGTGCCACTGCCCTCCGGCCTGGGCAACAGAATGAGACTGACTCAAAAAAAATGAAATACACTTGAGTGATGTTTAATGTACAGATTGTGCAAGCATCACTGCAGTCGATTGTAGAACATTTCTGTCACCCCCAAAAGAAAGCCACTCTCTTCAGCTATTGCCACCCACTCCCACGGGCCCTCTCCCCTCACCCCAGGCAAACACAAATCCATGTCTCTCTGTGGGTTTACCTGTCCTGGATCCCTCACCGGAGTGGCTTCTGCTGCCCCTTTCAGGGCGGCGCGGGGAGGTGGGGGCCGGGTGGGGCCCCGCAGGGCTCCGTGTGGCCCAGCCCCTCCCGCCTCCGCAGGTGGAGGAGAACCGCCAGTACCGCATGCACAGCCTGCAGCACAAGGCCGCCAGCTCCATCTACATCAACTCGCGGAGCGTCTTCCTGCGCACGGATCAGCCCGAGGGCCGCTACGTCATCATCCCCACCACCTTCGAGCCAGGCCACACTGGCGAGTTCCTGCTCCGAGTGTTCACTGATGTGCCCTCCAACTGCCGGTAGTCGTGGGGTAGTCATGGCCGGGGATGCTGGGGCGGGGGGAGCAGGGTTAGAGGGAGGAGGAAGACGGGCGCTGGTGTCAGCCCAGGGTGGCTAGAGGCCTGGGCTCCTCGCCGTGGGCAGACATGAGCGTCTCCAGGGCTGCAGGTTCTGGGTTGCCCAGGGTGGACCTCGCCTACCCACCCAGGCCCTGAGCCAGCCCCCAAGTCCAGAGGACCTCTCCCTGCTGGGGTGCAGAGGGCCCCACTTTGCCCTATCTACCTTGATCTGCAGCCCAACTCGGTCTCCTCAAGAAAACAGGTGGTCCCTGCCCACATGCCAGACCCAGGAGGCAGCTTGTGGTGTGGTGGAGTCAGATGGGTCCTGCCAGCCTAGCTTCCTTTCCCCACCCCCACCCCAACTTTCCAGCTGTATAGACAAGTCCCTTCACCTGTTTCCTTTTTTTTTTTTTCCCCGAGTTGGAGTCTCACTCTGTCGCCCAGACTGGAGTGCAGTGCCCGCTCCCGGCCACTGCAGCCTCAACCTGCTGGGCTCCGGCGAGCCTTCCGCCCCAGCCTTCCAAGTGACTGGAACTACAGGCGCGTGCTACCACGCCCGGCTAATTTTTTGACTTATTGTAGAAATGAGGTCTCGCCAAGTTGCCCAGGCGGATCTCGAACCTGCGGGCTCAGGCAATCCGCTCACTTCAGCCTCCCAAGGCGTGGGATTACAGGCTGAGCCACGAGCCCGGCTACCTGTTGTTTCCTAATCTGCGAAATGGGCACACTAAAGTCACCTGTCCCCCGGGGCTCTGTGAGGTTAGGCATCACACCTGTAACACCCCAGCAGAGGGCTTGGCATACAGCGGGTGCTCAGTAATTGCTTTTCCCCTGGAGTAAGGTGGGGCGCCTTGGAAGGGGTAGAGGAGGCAAGAAGCAGGGTGGGACAGGTGGGGGGCTTTCCATGGGGATTTGCCTGGGACTACGTGAAACACATGTCTGGACTAAATGCTGCACCTCCTCCCTCCCACTTCCTGAACTTCCTCCTCACTTTCTGTCTTCGGCTGGCCCCCACCACGCTCTCCAACTCCGGTCCTATATCAGAGAACTGTGCCTGGATGAGCCCTCCCGCACCTGCTGGAGCTCCCTCTGTGGCTACCCCCAGCAGGTGACCCAGGTACATGTCTTGGGGGCTGCAGGCCTCAAGGACTCCCCAACAGGTGAGCTCTCTTGGGGGAAGCCCCCAGCCCTCCTACTGGTTGCCCATCCCCTCTCCCTGCCAGCACAGATGCCCGCCTCCAGAGCTCCCCTGCTGTCCCTCAGCCGGCAAACCTTTCCCAGTCATCCTGGGGTGGTGCCGGGAACATGGAGACGAATAAGTCTATCTCCTGTTCTCGGGGAGTTTCGGTTTCAGATACAGGAACAGACAGGGAGGCTCAGGGAAAGCTTCCTGGAGGGAGTGGCCTTTCTCTAGGCTGAGGAGGTATTAAAGCAGCCTGATGAAAAGGGGTTGGGAGGAAGGTTGGTCTGGGCAGAGGGAACAGCATGGGTGAAAGCCTGGAGACCAGACATCATTAGTGTGCCCCTGCCAGTCTGCCTATGAGGGGCCCTGAGTGGGTCAGTCTCCCCTTCCAAATAACTGAGCCCAGGTGGGCATCTTACCTCCCAGATGTGGGCTCTGCTCCAGCCCCTACCCTCGCCCCGTCTCCAACTTCCTCCCTCTAGGGGCCAACTCTTATGTCATCATCAAGTGTGAGGGGGACAAAGTCCGCTCGGCAGTGCAGAAGGGCACCTCGACGCCCGAGTACAATGTGAAAGGTGTCTTCTACCGCAAGAAGCCAGGCCAGCCCGTCACTGTCCAGGTGAGCTCACCTGACTAGAGGGCCTCTCCTGGGCTCCCAGCCTGAGGCATCCTCGCTCAGAGGGGCAGGGCTGGGGGTAGAAGATTCCAGCCTCTAACAGGGATCCAGGTGTGCTGGGTTCTGGTTGTTAGTTTGTCCCAGACCTTCAGAGTGGCCATGGGAGTGCTCGCACCTGTCCCTCCTGCCACTCCAAGGCTCCTTCTGTATGTGGGTGATTTGGATGAGCCGACGTGATTCTGAGACCCAGCAGAGACAGTGGTCATCTGCTGACCTTGTCCAAAGCCCTGGTAGTTATCCCTGGAGTTCCCCTACGGGTGCATCCACCTGGAAAAGTTGCCCTGAGTTGGCATATGGTGGGTGTGGCTGTTCCTGAGAGCCCTGGGCAGGGGGTTGGAGAGCTGATGTCCTTGGGTGTGACTTCCTTCTTCTCTCAGGCCGAGGTGGTGGGGGACAATGATTCTAAGCTCATTAGTGGGAAGCTCTCTGTCCCCCAGGCCCTGGTCAGTATCTCTCTTGGTGAGAAACCATCTGTAAACAAACACTTGGGTTCCCCGGGGGAGCCACTGTAGCTTTGCCAAGTTTTCTCAACACCAGACTCCCACTGGAGCAAATCCCACACCTGTAGATATTGGGGCTGAAAGGACCCCTGAGGGCAGCCGATCCAGCCCTCCTATTTTTTTTTGAGTTGGAGTCTCACTCTGTTGCCCAGACTGGAGTGCAGTGGCCGCTCCCGGCCACCGCAGCCTCGACCTGCTGGACTTTGGCGATCCTTCTGCCTCAGCCTTCCGAGTAGCCGGAATTACAGGCATGCGCTACCACACCCGGCTGATTTTTTGATTTATTGTAGAGATGAGGTCTCGCTGCCCAGGCGGGTCTCGAACCCGCGGGCTCAGGCCATCCACTCACCTCAGCCTCCCAAAGGCGCGGGATTACAGGCTGAGCCACCGAGCCCGGCTCCAGCCCTCCTATTAAAGACGGGGAAACTAGGACAGGGGGTGCATCACTTGTCCAAGGCCACCCAAGGTCCATCGCAGAGTTAATAATAATAGGTTTAATTTTGTATGTGGACAGGAGCTTGGACAGATGGGGAGCCTGCAGCTCTAGTTCGTGGGAGGCCACAGTACAGGGCTCCTTCTCCTCAGCCAAGTTTGTACTGGGGAAGCAGGTTCGAGGCCTGCCACCACCACTGGCACCCCTCACAGGTCCTCTATATTCCTGGTCTTAGAGAGAGCCCCTCCCATGAGCCTCTGTCTCCTCCCAGATCTGGAACCACCGAGTCCTGAAGGACGAGTTTCTGGGCCAGGTGCACCTGAAGGCCAACCCGGACGACCTCCAGGCCCTGCACACCCTCCACCTCCGGGACCGCAGTAGCCGGCAGCCCAGCGATCTGCCGGGCACTGTGGCCGTGCGCATCCTCAGCAGTGCCTCTCTCATGGCCGTCTGACACCTGCCTGCCCACCGGCCCCAACAGGTCTTACCACTATCTGCATGTCCCCACCGGGCCTGGGACTAGCACGGGAGCCAGGACCCTGGGGTCCTTTTCCCACTCTTCACTGACTTACTGTGTAACCTTGGGAGGTCTCTGCTCCTCCCTGGGCCTCAGTGTCCTGAGGGCCCCAACACATTCCCTGGAGGAATTTTCTTGCCTGAGATTTGAAATAGCCCTCCCCAGTCCCACTGTCACAACTGCTGAGGGACTCTATCCGTTGAAAACATTTTCCCAAGGCCCTGCTGTCTGCCGAGGAGTGCCAAGATGTCACTTGTTTACACACAAACTGCCATGTTCCCCAACCCCGTTCTTGCCCCTGGTGTCTCGGGCCCAACCCCACCTCCCAGGCCTAGCCCTCCCTGCTGCCAATACCAGCTTTCCTTCCGCCTTGGAAGCACCCTTGGCTCCCACTGGGTCCTGCTCAGGCTGGAATTGGGAGATGTGCAGGTGGCATTTGTATGTTCTCTAACCCTGTCCACTCACCCATCCATCAGTTACACTCAAGAGAGATTTGTCAAATGAGTAAATGACACCCTGGAGGCTCCATGTGAAGTGAGGCCCTCCCCAGCCACTGGGCTTTGCCCCTGTCCTCAGGTCCTCTCCGAGGCAGATGCCCAGAGGAGCTGGGCTGCCAGCTCATTCCAGCTTCTGATCTCAACCCCAGTCCTTGGTTTAAGGTCCCCACAAGGATGGTGGCAATGAGTGTGCGGAAGGGACATCTTCCCGCCTCTACTGCCTGGTGCTGGAAGGGTATGCTGGGTAGCGGGCTAGGGCCAGGTGAGTGGAGGGGCTGTGGGGGCCCCAGGGGGGAGGCGTGTGCTCCCAGGCCCCCTATGCCGCAAGATCCCAGCTTTCCCTGGGAGAAGGGGACTCTGGGGTGGGTGGTGCCCAGTCTGCCCAGGTCAGGCTACCCACTGGGCTTGGCAGGAGATGAGTAGTTTCTTTGCCTAACCCGAGACCCCCTCCCCCAATATTCCCCCAAAATGCAGCCAAGGAGACCCCAGTGCTCTTCTTGCTGCCTGGACCAAAATGTTCAACATTTTATAGTCTTTCTCTTTTAAAAACTTCAATTTTAATCAAGCGCTTTGAAAGGAAATTGGAAAGCCCAAGCCTCCTTTTTTCTTCTTGAACTCCAGTTTTGCTGGTCCTCTGATTTTGTTTTGATTCCACTTGGGGAGGGACACAGGAGAAGGCGTCCTTCTCAGAGATCTGGAGGTGGGTAAAGAAGAGGATGTTCTGTGCCTGGGTATCTCTCAAGCTGGCACTGCCGTGGTTTTGGAGAACATTTGTGGAGCGTTGGAACCAGGACTCACTTGGCCTCTCTTCTGTGCCCTTCTCCGGCTTCCAGACCAGGCATAGCAAAAGTGAAAATGCTGTTGGTTCAAGAATGGGAATTCCTGCAGCCTTCTTGGAAATTCCTTTTGGGAATCTGACTTTCCAACCTGAGATCCCACTGTTGGATCCCACGTCCTGGCTGAAGGTGCTGGATTCTCTGACTTTGCCTCTTGCTCTGTGGATGGCCCTGCTCCTGGGTCCTGGCCCTGAGCCACATGAGGGACCAAGAAGTGAAAGACAGGAGAACGGGAACATTCTCCCTGGAAAGCCGGGACATCCCCCTGGACATGGGGCTGGGACTCTGCATGTTCAGGAGCAAGTCACTTAAACCTCCTGTGCCTCAATTTCCCCCTTCTACAAAGTGGGGCCAATGCTTCTCGTTTGTCAGCACTCTTACTAGCAAGTGCTGAGTAAGGGCAAAATACGACCCCCTCTCCATGTATCTCTGTATGTGCACACACTATATACACATTCATGTAATCGCCACTGCTCGATATCTGTTTCACATGAAGGCCCCCGGGTGGGGCGGGTGGAGATATGCACTGGGTGGAGCCAGCAGGGCCTCTGGGCTGACACATGGGTCTTTGCTCAGCATGTATGTCCCCTGGGCTACAGGGGCAAACCAGGACCAAGGGGCAGACCTGTGGGCTTCAGCCTGGGGGCCAGACACTGCCTCCCACCCCCCACAGAACTGGTTCAGCAGCCCTGCTCTTACGTCCCGCCCCTCGAGGTGGGCCAGACTGGCTCCTGGCTATGCAGGAATCTCTGGTCCCAAGAAGCCCCGGGGACTGGGCAGGCCAGGATGCAGGGTGGGTGGGGAGAGCAGTCACTTTGTTCACCTTGTGCGCCACGGGGGCCTCAGAGGTCCCATTTGTAGATGGGTGGGCCTCGAGCCCACACCCCCCAGACCTGGGCATCCCCCTTCTCAGAGCCCACCACAGGCTCAGGGGAGAAGAGGCCTGTTCTATTCTCAGAATAAATGTTGCCACGATTCCAGAAAGACCTTCCTGTGTGTCTGTCCCTGTGGGAGGAGGGGACAATGGAGGGAATACTTCCCAGGCTTAGGTGACTGTCCTCTGTCAGAGGGTTGAGCAAAGGAGGACCCGAGACTGGGGATCCTTCTGTCATTCCATCCTCTCTTCAGCAGCTCTGTTTGAGGCTGGCTTTGTGCCAAGCCTGCCCCAGGCACCGGGGATGTGGGGAACCAGACACCATGCCTGCCCTGGAATAGTCTACATTAGTGGGAACAGATACAGGTACTCTGATTGTGACAAACACCAGGCAGAGCGTTATCGATGGGCAGTGTAGGCCTATGGGGGCTCTGTCAGCTGCTGGGTTACCACCCTGATCCAGTCGATGACCTGGAGGCCCCCCGGGGGGGGGTCTCAGGGAGAGGAGATGGGCTTGTGGCACAGGCAGGTGTGGGGGAACCAGAGCAGAGGCTGCTGAGGGCAGATGTGGGCAGCTCTGGCCAGGAAGCTGGGTGGTCCTGGGGAAGAGGGGGGTTGGGGTGACTCTGAAGGCCAAGTAGACACTTTCGTGATAGGCTGGACTTGGGGAGGGAGGGGGTGAGTGCCGTGTGAGGCAAGTGAACCCAGGTGCCTCGGTTTCTTCACGGAGCTGTGAGAAATGGGCATTCTGATTCACGTGTCCTCAGCATAGTGCTGGGTGGTGGTGGGTGTTGAGTGCACCTGTGACCCTGGCCCTAGGAGGCCACCCGCCCCCACAACTTTCCCGCCTCTCTGCCCCACCCCCTACAGCTCACTGCACCCTGCCCCTGCTGCCAGCCCTGTGCCTCGGGCACCGTGGTGCTCCCCCACTGGGTCTCACTTTCCATCTGTGTAGACTGATCCCGCCTGTCCTGTCCAGCCTGGAAGGCTAGGAGAGGGGATATGAGGAGTGGCAGGTACTAGGTATTGGCTGCAGGGGTAAGTGCAGGATGGGGACTGTTCCAGGGGCTCCTGTCAGTGCCACCGAGCGACAGTGTCTTCAGGTTGGGGATTGTGGGGGTTCTGAGGGAGCCAGCCTGCCAGTCTTTCCAGCCATGCTCAGCCTTGTCTCACTGGTGCCTGTGCCCAGCAGGTGGTGCTAGTGGGCCACCAGGTCCCCATCCAATTTCTGGGTGGCTTCCCTGCAGATGCACTCCAGTTATGGGGGCTGGGGACCCAAAAGGTCCCTGGCTCTGTGAGACCCAGATTTACCCTGGAGAGGTGCGCTGACGTGTAATGGTTCTGCCCCGGCCCTTGGGGCTCCTGCTGGCTGCAGATGAGGAGAAAGTGCCGGTCTTGGTAAGGCACCCTGAGCTCACTGTCCTCACCGTGTTAACAGCAAAGATTGTGTGTGTGCCCCTTGCTTGCCCCCTCCGCCTCTTGGGTCCCATGCTTCACTTCAGTTTCTATGTGTCCCTGTTACATGTGGGGCTGCTCCTAGTCAGCTGGTCTGGCCAAGTTCCTGGAAAATTAGAGAAGAGCATGCACCCCTCACCCCCAGGGCAAGTTGTGGAGGGCGGTGTTGAATTGATGAGTGTCAGGGGGACATGTCTGAGGACAGCCCTCAGGAAGTAGGTCTGGGGCAGAGGGGAATGCAAGGAGGGGAGAAGGCACCAAGACGAGGGCTTGCACGGCCCTCTCCCTTCTAACCTGTCCAACTATTCCCTCTCAGGGTCCCCAGAGGAAGAAATGGCCTGTGGAGGCAGGCAGAGGCTGAGGCCCCTGCAAACTGGTGACCAAGTCAGAGTCATGTGGGAGTTCCTGCCCAGGTGCTGAGACAGCAGGCCATGTACCTCACATGACAGGAGGCACCCTGGTCAGCACGGGTGGCCGGGCCCAGGTTCCACTCTGATCAGCAGCATAGCCAGAGAGAGATCCCAGGTCCCCTGCCTCCCCGTCGGTCGGCCAGAACTCCACACAAAGGCCTGGGCAGCCTCTGGACATTGGTCCCAGCCCAGCACAGCCCTACCCCCACGCTGATGTCACCGCACCCAGACCTTGGAGGCCCCCTCTGGCTCCGCCTCCTGGGAGAAGGCTCTGGAGTGAGTAGGGGAGGGTGGCAGTGCTGGCTGGACAGCAGCCCTGGGCAGGAGAGAGAGGGAGAGACAGAGACACACACAGAGAGACGGTGAAAAGCAGGCTCAGAGAGACACCCAGAACGAGCCTCAGAGCAAGGCAGAGGAAGAGGGGAAGCGTGTCTGCAGAGTGTCCTAGGTCTGTGGCCCCAGCTTCCTGATTCCTCCGTAAAGGTGGCAGCTGCACCCGGGCTGGTGACTCACAGAGTGGGCAGCTGGGACCCAGGTAAGGTTGGGCTGCCCACTGTCCTGGCAATGAGGAGAGGGTTTGTTGGGTGTGGGGGAGTTGTGGGCTTGGGTCACCTCTACGCCATAGCCACTTGCTCCTGGGCCTGGGTTCCATTCATAGCAGCCATTGAATGAAACTGACCTGAGTCTAGACAGATGGAGGCTTGTATCCTGGTAAAGGGAAGAGTCAAGGGGCATGGTGTCCATCTAACCATCTCTGGACCAAGGCTGGGGACATCCTGGGGTCAGGGTAGCAGATGTTCTGAGGTGGGAGAGAGAAAGGAAGAGGGGGGTGGAGAGAGAGAGAGAGAAGCGCCACTGTCGCTGTCTCTGTCTCCTTGGCTTTCTCTCCAAAGGTTTATATCTCTCTTTGGGTAAGTCACTTCCTTCATCTGTGCCTCAAATTTCCCATCTGTGAAATGGGAATATGAAGTCCTAGGAACCAGGGTTACTGTGGAACAAAGTAAAAACAGGTATAGGCTGTGTTCTCTGTTTTCAATTTGAAAAGAAATTAAGTTGAACATGGTCTTTTCTTAGTTTTAGAAATAAAATGTTTATCTTGTAGTTTTTCCTAACGCGTGGCCCTTAATTCTGTACCCTCACTACCCTCCTCCATCCTCCTCCATCCTCAGGGACCCAGATCTTTAATGAGAGCATTGTTTCTGCCCGGCCCTTGGGGCTCCTGTTGGCTGAGGAGCCAGTACCAGACCCAAGTACTGTCTTTCGACATAGTCCCCTGTGGCAGTTCCCCCTGGCCCTTGCTGAAGCCACTGTCCCGCCAGGCACCCAGACTGGTGCAGGTCTCTGGAAGGACGGTGTGCTCGCTGCGTCCCAGAGCTCCAGGGCAGGGGTCAGGGCTCAGGTGTCAGGTAGTGTCGTGGGCCGAGGATCAAATGCCCCAGTGCCTCTGAATGGGCCCTGTGAAAAATTGATGCTCACCCTAAGAGACAGGATGGGGGAGCCGGAGGGTCCTTGTGTCAGGGCCTGTGGGCTGGGGCTGCCTTGAAAGTCACACCGGTCTACAAGTCCTTCCTGAGACCATCTCTGGGGCTGGTCCTGTGCTGGAGACAGGGCGATGGCTCAGACCCTCCTCCACTGTCCATGTCCTGCCCTGGGTCAACTCCCTGACTTTGGAGGCAGAGATGGGCCATATCCAGACAACATAATTCATATAGTCAAGATGGGATCATGGAAAACACAGTATCTTGGCAACTTGCAGGTAGTCAGGGAAGCCTTCCTGGAGGAGCTGCCATCTGAATTGAACCACGAGCCAGAGATGAGAATTTATTAGTCAAAGTTCCAGGTAAAAAGGCCAGTGTATGCAAAGGCCAGGTGGCATGAAAAGAGCTTGTTTCAGGGACAGGGAGTCACTGAGGATGTCTAAGTGCAAGGGCAGGGAAGGAAGAAACAGCAAGAGGAAAGACTGAGACATCGGCGGGGGCCCAGTTGTGCTGTCTTAAAGCCAGGCTTGGGAGGGTGGGGCTTAGGTCCTCCATCCTGAAGGCTGTGGATGTCCTGGAAAGGTTTCTGGCAGGGTATGCTGAGTGCAGGTCATGCTCAGCCCATTACCTTCTCCTTGGGCCAGGTCACCCCTGTCGCCCACAGTCCTGGGGCAGCTCTGAGCTAGGAGGCTGGAGACTAAATCCTTGTCTTAAATTTGTCCTGCCCTGCTGCTGTGTGGCCTTGGGCAAGTCTTGATGCCTCTCTGGGCCCCCTTTCCCAGATGTCTGAGGTGGGGCTAGGCTTGCTACTTTCCAGGAGCCCTTTGGGAATCTAAATGACAGTGGCCAAGAAAGGAACTCAGCTGCTCCAGCAGTGGAGCTGGTGGCAGTGGCTTGAGGCTCAGGTCACGCGGGCTGGGTTGTGGCCAGAGGGAGAGAAGCCAGGAAGGGTTCCCTGGAGGGAGGAGTGGCTGCAGCTTGTGGAGGAGCCCAGGTGACCCCAGCCAGGCTCAAGACTGCCAGGGTCAGCCTGCCTGGAGGCGTGACATGGTCCCTCTCCCTGCAGAACTGTGCCTGGCCAGGCGGGCAGAAGGAGCGCCTGACCCAGAACCATGGTGATTCTCCAGCAGGTGAGTGCTCTCAGAGCCAGGGATCGTTGGGCGCCCAGTCCTGCCCCAGACCATGTTCTGTCATCTGCATGCTCACTGGCAGAATACCCTCCCCAGTGTTTCTCCCTTAGGCTTCAAAACCCAGCCATGAAACTTCCCTGACCCTCTCCCCCAGGCCCAGTCTGGAGCCGGTCCCCCCGGATATGGCAGCTGGGGCCCCTTTCTCTCACTGACTCACCCCACTGAATAGAATTGATTCATTTACACACATCTCTGAATCCTGGGCATTCGAGGCAGTGGAACAGCATGCACAAAGGCCCAAATGTAGGCAAGTCCTCGAGGAAGAGGGAGAGGAGTTTGACAAGGTCCCCAAAGCCAGCAAGGAAGGGGCCTGAGCCTGAAGGGAGCAGTGAGTGGGGGTGACATGGCCCAAGGTGGAGCCCCTTGGGGTTTTATGGGAAGAAGCAAAGGCGCTGTCCTCAGCGAGTCCCACTCCCACTCAGGCCGCAGCAGCCTCTGACCCTCAGCCCTTCCCCGTGACCAGCCTGAGGCTCTAATGAGCGCCTGGTCTCCAGAGCTGGAGGAGGAATGTGGGCCCTGAGCCAGGTGGGCCTGGCAAGGGGCCCGTGGCAGCGGGGCTGTGTGCTGTAGGGGCTCGGCCAGTGGCTGCCCATCCTCCAGGGTCACATAGGCTGAAGAAGCAGCCTTCCCCACAGCCCCGAGGCCACGTGGAACAGCGCGTTTGCATGTGAGTGTGTGTATGTGAGGTGGCAGGCCTCAGGGTAGGGCCAGTCTCTGTCCCAGGGGTTGGAGGAGGTACCCTCTGAGCTGAGCCATGAGCCATAGGTGAGAATCCATTAGTCGGAATTCCAGGTAGAAGGACCAGTGTACACAAGGCCCCTCCAGAGACCCTTGGCCCTAGAGCCTTTCAGAGGCCCATCAGAGATGGCCAGGATCTATAAGAAAAAGAAAGTCACATTCACCAAGTGTTTGCTGTGCGCCAGGGCCTGGGCCACAGGCAGGGCTGGGGAATGGGCACATGCCTGGAACTCCTTAGCCCTCCCAGCATGCCTTTCCTCAGGGGGCCTCTGAGCTAGGCCTCTGGTTGGCTGTTTCCCCCCCATCCCATTCCCAACCCCTGCCCCTCCTGTCTGCCCTGGCCTGGCCCACCTCGTCCTGTGAACGGTCTGTTTGGAGCAGGTGTCTATGAGTAAACACTGGTTCTGCCCACCCTTCAAACCCAAAGTATATTTCTGCTTTGGTCCTGAGAAAGGCCCCAGCTCTGGGGAGCCGACCAGCTTTGCTATTCCACACACCTGGCCCCATCTTGGGCTTTGTTATTGATGAGTGGGAGGGCCTTGGGCATATCACTCAGCCTTCCTGAGCCTCAGTTTCCTCACCTGTAATACAAAGATTAAACACCTCTTTTCCTAGCCAGGCACAGTGGCTTACACCTATAATCCCAGCACTTTGGAAGGTGAAGGCTAGAGGATTGCCTGAGCCCAGGGGTTCAGGACCAGTCTGGGCAACTTGGCAAGACCTCATCTCTACAGTAAATCAAAAAATTACCTGGGTGTGGTGGTACACGTCTATGGTTCCAGCTACTTGGAAGGCTGAGGTGAAAGCATCCCTGAGCCCAGCAGGTTGATGCTGCCGTGACTGTGAGTGTGCCACTGTACTCCAGCCCAGAAAACAGAGTGACTCTGACTCAAAAAATAAGCAAAATTTTTTTCCTGAAACTGCTATTGGGAGCCTCCCTGGTCTGGCTCCTGCCTCCCCTTATCCTGCCACTTCCTCCCATGTCCTGAAAGATCCACAGAACACTTGGCCTCCCCTTCTTACCTGGTTAACTTCTGCTCAGGCCTCAGTGGCCTCTGCTTCCTTTGGAAACTTTCCCTGCTGTGCAAATCCCAGATTCTGGATCATACTCTGCCTTTCTTCCCTGCCTACCTGGGGCCTCCTAGGGAGCCCTGGACCTGAGGACCAGCCTTTACCCTACCGCTTGGAAATGGCACTCTGTGCTGAATGAATAAGTTGTGGTTACACCACCATTTGGCCCCAGGGGCTAGGTTTAAATTCTGATTCCATCACTTTCCAGCTATGTGGCTGTAGGCACATAGCTGACCCCATTTTCTTTTCTGTAATAAAGCGCTGATAATGGTACCTACCTTATTGGGATGTTTGAGAATAAATGTCAAGGCATGTAAAATACTTAGCCCAGTGCTTGACACAGAGCTCATAAAGGTTAGCTGCCATGACAACGCCACTGATAAAAGAATACTAATAATGTTCCTGGGTATAGGACTTCCCCATTCTTTTTTCTATCTCACTTTATTTTGGATTTTAAAAAGTCTCTGGGGACCTCAAGGGATATGATAATTCTTTTTCCATGTGTAGAATATCACTGTATAGTACATACCAATGACACTGATCCATCCACCCATCTATTCAACCATCCATCCATCCATCCATTATCCATCCATCCATAATTCATCCATCCATCTATCCATCCATTATCCATACATCCATCATCCACCCACCCATCCACCCATCCGTCCATCCATCCATCCCTCCCTCCCTCCCTCCCTCCATCCATCCATCCATTCATCCATCCATCCATCACCTAGCCTTTCTAAGTCTCCTGTATAGGCACAGGAGACATCTCATAAAAACAGGCTAAGAACCCAAATCTCTTCACTCATGAAAAAAGTGTATTCATTTGTTATAGGTTCTAATTCATCAGAGGTAGCATCCATGGTGGTCCTCCTATGTGCCAGGCACCATATAATGATCTCATTTTACCTCAATAAAATGGAAAAGGTAGGGACCTCTGTGCCATATCTCAGGTGAAGACACTGAGGCTCAGATAGGGCAACTGAAGCACAAGCTGGGGTAGGTCCAGACAGGACAGGGAGTCATGATGGTGTTGAGGGGACAACAGGCAGGAAGAGGAGGCCTTGAGAGGGGCTGCTGTACAGGGCACAGGGCTGTGGCACAGGAACAGGCACAAGGAGAAGAGGTCAGACTGCCCGTGCAGGGTGCTCTCTGCAGAACATGGGCTTTCCTGGGGACCGTATGCAGTCTAGAGAAACCACAGTGTTGAAGGCCTCAGGAGTGGGATGAGGGCGTCTGGGATTCCTGGTGTGTCAGAGGCTGCCTGCTCCAGCACATTCTCACTTGCTCACCAAGCGGTACATCATTGTACCGCTTCTCTGTGCCAGGCTATGCATAAAGGATGCCAAGATAAAATACCATTCCTTGCCACAGAAGAGTTCCCACGCTAATGGAGGAGACAGCTTAGAAGCCTAGTGGAGGCACCTGTGACTAGAACTGTGACGACCAGCGTCCTGGGGGTAGAGGGGTGGGAGATTTCCTGTGACTGCCACAGGGACTGGGGTCTCAGGGAGAAAGACTTGCCCAGGTGGCAGGGCCAGCTGATGCCAGAGTGGGAACAAGACCCAAGATCCTAGAGTTCTACGGTACACCTAACCCACGTCTTTAAGGACTTCAGGAGGGTTTTTTTGGTTTTGTTTTTTTGCTTTAATATGACATGATTTCCAGCTCTGTGGGGTCAGGGTAGGGACGATGTGTACTTGGCCCAGATTTGTGGGCAGAGGGAGGCTTGAAGATCACATTTGTAGGCTGTTAATGCTATCTGGATGGACACTTTTAGTAAAATATAATGTCTTTCTTTATCTCTTGTAACAATTGTTGATTTCAAGTCTATTTTGTCTGATAGTGTAGACACCCAGCTCTCTGTTGGTTACTCTTTGCATGGGATACTATTTACAAGAAATTTTTCCACCTTTATCCTTTTTGTGTCTTTGGAACTGAAGTGGATATCTTGTAGGCAGCATATAGTTGGATCATGTGTTTTTGTCCATTCTATCAATCTCTACCTTCAAATTGGAGAGTTTAATCTATTTAAAGTAATGACTGGTGAGGAAGAACTTCCTTCTGCCATTTTGCTATTTGTTTTCTCCATGGCGTATATCTTTCCCTTCAATTCCTCATTACTGCCTTTTTTTTGTGCTTGATTTTTTTCCTCTACTGTACTGTTGTGATTCTCTTCTCATTTCCTTTTCTGTGTATTTGAAGAGTTTTTCCTTAATGATTATCCTTTGGTTTATTATTAACATCTTAAATTTACAGTATAGTTTGAGTTAAGGCCATATTAGCTTCAATAATAATGAAAAATTATGCTTCTATAAAGCTTCATCTCTCCCCTTTATGTTTCTATTGTCACAGGTTACATCTTTGTACATTGTGTGCCCATAGAGTTATCATTATTTTATGCATTTGTCTTTAAAATCACATAGGGAAAAAAAAAAAGATAAATGAGTTAAAAACCAAAAATACAGGATCTTACTATGCTGCCCAGGCTGGAGTGTAGTGGCTATTCACAGGTGCAGTCATGACCTCTAACTCCTGGGCTCAAACAATCCTCCTGCCTTAGCCTCCCAAGTGGCTGGGACTTCTTGGCATGCCACTGTACTCAGCTTAATACTGGCTCTTATATTTACCTGTGTTGCCTTTACCGATGTTCTTAATTTCTTCTTATGGCTTTGAGATACTGTCTAGAGTCCTTTATTTTCTGTCCATCTTTCCATTTTTTATTACTATAAAACACACATGGTAAAATTTACCATCTTAGTCATTTTCAAGTACATAGTTCACTGGCATTAAATACGTTCATAATGTTGTACAACCATCACCACCATCCATCTCCATAACTCTTTTCATTTTGTAAAATGAAAATTCTGCCCATTAAACACTAACTCCCCTCTTCCCCTAGTCCCTGCCAACCACCATTCTACTTTTTGTCTCTGATTTTGACTATTAATAGGTGCCTCATGTAAGAGGAATCATGCAGTGTTCGTCTTTTTGTGATGACTTATTTCACTTAGCATGACATCATCAAGGTTGACTCATGCTGTAGCACGTGTTGAATTGCCTTCCTTCTTAAGTCTGCATAATATTTTTTTGCATGTATGCAGATATATTGTTTATTCATTCATCCATTGATGGATATTTCAGTTGCTTCCATGTTTTAGCTATTGCAAATAATAATACTATGAACATAGGTGTACAAATATCTCTTGAGACCCTGTTTTCAATCCTTTTGAATATATATCCAGAAGTAGAATTGTGGGGTCTTGTGTAAATTCTATTTTTAATTTTTTGAAGAACAGCCACAGTGTTTTGTTTTCCACAGTGGATGTACTATTTTACACTCTCAGCAGCAGTGCCCAAGGGTTCCATTTCCCACATCTTTGCCGATACTGATTTTCTGATTTTTTGATAGTAATCATTCTAATGGGTATGAGGTGGTGTCTCATTGTGGTTTTGATTTGCATTTTTCTAATGATTAGTGGTGTTAAGCATCTTTTCATGTGCTTCACGTCTATTTGTATATCTTCTTTGGTAAAATGTCTACTCAAGTCCTGTGCCCCCAAATGGGGTTGCTTGTTTTGTTGTTGTTCGATATCCTTTAATTTTTAGCATTTCCTATAGAGTAGGTCAACTAGTGACAAAGTTCCTCGGCTTTTGTTTATCTGGAAATATCTTAATTTCTTCTTCATTTTTGAAAGATAATTATGCCAGATATAGTATTATTGGTTGACAGTTTTTTTTTTTCTTTCACCATTTTAAATATATCATCATATTGCCTTCTGGCCTCTGTGGTTTCTGATGAGAAATCAGCTGATACTCATATTTTTAAGCATTCTTTGCATATGGGTCACCTCTCTCTTGCTCCTTTAAAGATTGTCTCTTTGTCTTTGCCACCTGTGGAGAAGGGGCCTGTTCCTCCAGCTCAGGGGTAGTCTGGGTGAAGGGGCTTGAGTCGTGGGTATGGGTCCATGTAGGGCCAAGCTCTCCATGCCTTGCAGGGTATCCCCCAGGGGCCTCTCTCCAGCCACCAGACCTACTGTGTGATCTCTTCCCTCTTCTGATTCTCAGTGTTTGCTGTTAGTCTTCCTGGAATGCCCTTTCCCCTCATGGCTACCTGAGAAATCATAATATCCAGCTGTCATCCCTAACACACCTCTCTCAGTTAATAGTAACTGAAACTCGTACAACATTTGCTCTAATAGGCACCAATCTATGTGTGTTGCTTATTTTAGCATGGTAGTTTTTCACGAGTACGTGGAGGTACTGTCATCTTTTCACCTGACAGATGAGGCTGAGGAACTTGCCCGAGGTAGCACAGCATGCGAGCAAATGAGCTGGGATTGAATCTAAACCAACTGGCTCCAGAGTCTAAGCTGTTAGCAACTATGTTATTTCTCTCCAGGGTCAATCTGTCCCTTATCTGGTGGTAACATCCTTATCAGCATTGGGTCTGTCCACTCTACCAAGCCAGGAGCTCCGAGGACACATCTTGTTAACAGTATGCTCTGAGCTTTCGTCTGAGCCTGTGCTCATTGAAGCCTGGTTATGTGAACAGATGAAAGAATGCCTGGAAGTCCACCACCAGCACTTCCCTGTGTCTGAGAGTCTGCTTCCTGTTCCAGTGGACTGCCATGGGTGGGTGGGCAGAGGTAGGTGCGCTCGTTTTCGGCTTGACCTCTCCTGGGAGCAGGGCTCGCGAGAGGAGTGGGAATCACTGTGGCTAGTCAGCTTTGTGCTGGGTGGCAGAGACCTGGGCCCGGAAGCCGGGACAGGGACCCAGCCTGAGTGACTCAGAGTTGTGGGAGACATCACTGTCTCTTTCCTCACCACTCCACACTTCTCTCTGCTTGGTTGTTAGGAGAGCAGTTGGCTTCCAGGATTGCAGACAATGCCCAGGGCCAAAAGTGGAGACAGGAGACCTTTGAAAGGAGAAGAGAAAGAAACGAGGAAAGGGGAGGAGGACAAAGATAAGCAGGAGAGGCGGGAAGGGGGGAATGGGAGGAGAGTCACAGGGCCTGGGCCTTCCGGCCCTCTGGCTCACAGCCCAGCAAGGACTGGAGCCCCATGCCCGGCCCTGTGAGACTGCCAGGACACAGGAACCCAGCCCGGTCCACTGCGGAGGGGGGGGGGTGCCCTGAGTCACCAGGGTGGCTCTGCTGTCCTGGGATTCCAGGGAGCCCCTCGCCAGGCCTCAGTGGCCTCTAATGCAGGCTAGAAGTCACCTGCCGGCTGACCTCAGGGCGGGGTGAGGAGGACCAGAGACAGGCCTTCAGGGCTTTGCCCCAGTGTGTACCTGTCCTCGCTCCCCAGAGAGGACCAGCGAGCCAGAAGGGCCCTTGACCACCTCCCTTTGGTCTTCAAAACTCCCGGCGTTTTCTTCCGTAGGAAACATACTGATTTTTCCCGGCGCCACGTGCATCCCGGGGCCGCGGCCGCGGTCCCCGTGAAGCGCCCGCGATCCCCGAGGCGGCGCGGGTGCCGGGGTCCCTCCGAGACGGGAGGGGCCCGGGCGGCGCGGGCGCCCCCTCCCGGTTCCCGCCCGCGGGCGTCACCTAAGCCGCCGTTGCCATGGGCCCGCG